AGTGAATTCAAAAAGTACTTTAAAACCTTCACTTACATCTCTTTTGATGTTGCAGCCTTGTTCTGAAACCATTTGAATTATTTCCCCCCTAATCAATGTACCCTCAATACCCAATAATGACAAAGTGAAAACCGAATTAGATTTTTTTGCAATTTCATGAAAATACAAAAACCCTGAAATATCATATTGTCCCCAAGTAATCAGAACACTTGCTATAACACTTTCACATATTTCTAAACCTTGATTGGAGTCCCATCGCTAGTGGTAAATGAAATGGATTGCACAAGATTTGTAAAAGCACACACCTGTCTCTTTAAGTGTACCGACAGCAGCCAATGCCAATTGGAGAAAAAACCCGGCCACGAGGTGAAAGTACTGCCTGCAGAGCTCAGAGACAGGTTTGTGTTGAGGCATAGATGTGGGGAAGGTTTCTAAAATATTTATTTTGCATCGAGTGTTCCTAGGTGCAGTGACCTCCATAACTATAAATGGAAGAAAGGCACTTGTCTTCCTGATGTCATGAGTGAATGCAGAAAACAGCATAGGACGTTTGATATTAAGACGGCATTTGCTCGCACTTCTGCTAATGAATGTGGCCCGCTTCCCACAATAATTCTATGAACTTAATTTTTCTTGCGTTTCTCATCTCATCAATATAGGGGTGTTTATCGTCTGTGAAAGCTGTTCAGTGATTCATGAATTGTACTGGAGTCAAATGAATGAAATGTAGACACATGTGGGCTGATCAGATTTGTTGTTTGACCTTTAGCTCCTCCATTAATATATGCAAAATATGAGGCAGACACAACTATGTACTGTTTGAAGGGACACAGCCTCTTTAATAGCATTTGGAGTGAAAAAAAAAATTACACTTAAGTTGTTAAAATCAAGTTGTTTATAACTGTAGCACAGGAAAACAATAACATGCAGTCTATGAGAAACATATTTAATTCATCCAATCTAGAACCCAATTAACCAGTTCTGCTTGCATCAATTTCAACTGAAATGGATTTAAACACTTGGAAACAGTATGGTGGTTGAAAGAAAAAACTAAAATAAAAATAATCTCAAAAGAATTTCATATTTTCAAATATATATATATACACACAAATCCTACAGACAACCCTTTGAAACAAACTTTTTACAGGAAAATGTTTTGATCCCTTACTACAGTGCTGATCAAAGTTTAATAATGACAGAATCCCCAGCATTCTGATTAAAATGGAGAAAAACAAATCAACAGGTTTATAGAAAAGAGTGATCGCCAACCACTTCATCCATTTGTTATAATAAAAGCTCTCAATCTCTGTGTTCTTATGTTTCCTCTGCAAAAGAAAGAGAACAAAAGTTTGCTTGGAATGACTATTTACCAAAACGTTTTTCAAAGTAAACAGACTTTAAAGTACTAAAACAGCTAGTCTACATCAATTGAATGGACCCCAGGCTTTGAAACCTAGATGGGTAAATGTTTCAAAGAGAAAAAGGTCGTCGGGATAGATGTGTAATTGCTCGACTTGGGCTTGAATACTGGCTGTGCAATTTGAAGATAAAGTATATTTTGAACAATGATGCACATAATGGTCTAAAGATGTGACGTAAAACAAATCCATTGACTTGCCATATCAAGCTAAATGAAACCTTAAATAATGCAAATAAATTTGGTTTATAGGGGTGCTCAACGACACAGTATCCCAGCTCTACAAAAGCGCTAAAGTAGAAAGAAGTGATTTAAGGTAGACCACAGGCTACAGGAGACCAAATGGGTTGGGATTAGTGACACTCGCTTAAAATAACGCATTCAATGATGTGGTGGGTGGCTTAAGATTTAAGTCAAGTCCCTGTTAATCATCCATAATAATGCTTGCTCCACTGGCTATGCTAGTGAGAATCAGGTAACAAAATTTTTTTAACAAAATTGTGTGAGGTGCCAATTCAAGTTAAACAGAAATCTAAAATTATTTGGCGCTGGGTATAGGCTAATCATTTCAAGAGATGAATTAGGATCGGTGTTTTCTGCCCGTCATGAATGCATATTCAAGTTAAATGTGACTAACTTTTCCAAAGTGACTGCATGTCGTACAAAGGACTGGCTGAGACACTTGTGACCCAGAGCAGCGGCACAAAAGAAGAAATGATTCAACTTAAAGACATTGCATTTCCTTCAGCTTCCTCTTACACATTTAATTATGTCATGTTTCTAACACTATGGACTTTTAATATATAACTTGTTACAAATAAGTAGGTACCAATATATTAATCAAAACTTGGCAGATTTATTTTACTTGGGAGAAGGAGATGTACTGGAATCCCCATCATTGGAAAAAAAAAAAAAAAAAATAATCACAAATTTCACGGCAACTTTTTTCCAGTGTGGTTCCTCCTTGGCGACTTTATACTTACCCCATGGGGTTAAAAAGGCAGCATTGAGTCTCACCTACCACTGAACAATAGCAGACCAATCCTAAAACGAGGATCGGGGTCCTCAAGAAAAAACAAAACAAAAAACCCTACCCCTAAATAGACAAAAGGCAATATTCCCAGACTTATTTGATCCATGCTGGTCATATCCTCATCTGAACCATGGATCAAACTTTTTTTTATTTTTCATTTTACTGTTCCGCTTACAAAAAGGTAAATCAATCTCTAACCCTTGTCACTCCCCACTAACTGTGACCGATAAATTTAAAATGAGGAGGGGAAGGGTAAGGGGGAGATTTTAACTAGCAAAAGGTTTCCCTGTTTCGTCCTTGCCTTTGTATGTCCTCTTCCCATGTGTGAAGGGTAGGTATCTGTACTTGACCATATGCTAGAGAAAGTGGGGAAGAAAAAGAGGAGAATTAGCAACAAGTATTTCTAGGATTTGCGTAAACATTTTTTTACTTATCCCATGTGGTGGGAGTAGAACAATGATAGCTGGTATTCAGATATTCTGTATTGAACAGAAGCTCTGCATATAAAAGCTGGACATAAACACCCGTACAATATAATGCAGTCAAATAAAATGAATCCCCTTCAAAACATACGACCTTCGTGACCGATTAGATGTTTAGTTTTGTTTATGTTACACTGTGACTCCAGTATAGCTGCAGTGTCAACATATGCAGTGCACTTGTACGCATCAGTCCATGTATACTTTTTTACCTTGATCTGCCTCTTCATGGTGATGCAGAAGAGCATGATGAAGTACATTACAAGTATAGGCCAGAACACTGGCACATTGAAGGCTTCAAAAAATGTGCAAATCATGGCGATGACGATGCCTTTTGTCGCCGAATGCCTGCAAGACAAGATAACCTCAGTTAAAACAGTTTAACCACATTAGTGGAAGCATAAAATCAACAACATCCTCAACTCGTAACCAGTCATTTACTGAATGCATATGTCTAGACACTAAAGGAGATTTCATTTTGGAATTTAGCATTGTGGAGAGACTAATGTGGAAGTGTAATAATGAAGAATGGATACGTGGAAACAAATATTACAAAAAACTCACAATGAACAAAAGGTTTTTGGCTAAATTTCTTAACCTGTTCTAATGCATCTTATTTTCTCAAGTTCAGTCAACGCAGTGAGTCTGAAAACAGCTGATAAATATTTCAACGCTATTACAGCTTTCTCTCAGTTTAAAAACCAAAGATCATCGTTTTATACACGATGAAAAAGCCACTTTCCTCTCTTCCTGCTTTAGTGCACAAGAGGACAAAGAGTTTGCATAAACACATGGCGGTCAGGCAAGGTTTAACATGAACTGTGAAAAGTAGAGCACAGAGAAATGTTGACTTAATGCTCAACCGGTAGCTTTTTCATTGATACACAATTTTTATAAAGCTAAAACTGCTCAAAGATGCTAACTTTCCCGGTGAATGTTTGTCAAGCCACGCTTACAAGAGTCTAATTTAATGTCTATAGGCATGATCTATGGATGAAGTAGTGGATTAGTCAAGATGAGGATGTAAGATCACACAGCGTCACAAGCAAATACACACTTGGTAATTCAATCCAACATCTCCGTTTTGTTTTACATGTTCAAATGCATGACTTTAAAGTTGACCATGGAATTCATTTGCAATCACTCTGTGGGTGACAATGACAGGTGGCCAGGCCACGAGCTAGACTCACCAGAATTTGAATTCAGGCAATCTCCTGATGAACGGGCGGAACTCCTCGTTTTGCTTGGTGGGAAGGGATGGGCCCTCATCTGCAGAAGAGAGAGCGGTTATGGTGATATGTTGTAGTTATTAAAAAGTGCAACCTTCAAATCACGAGACCAACAACGTACAAGTCAAAACACAATGTGACCAAAATTATTATTACGTTCATGTTGTATTTTATTAAATAAAAGACACTGGTCTGAAATGTTGTTAATCTGTAATAACAATTTATGTACAAAGGAAAAGCTTATTAGGCTAAATAAGGGGAATAAACTACTTCACAATAGTTTTTTGCTTTTATGAGTCTGCGCTTAACTTCCGAGAGATCACTTGTTAATCAATAGTGTGGCCGGCACGATGACATGTTATTTCCTTGGATGTTCTAACAAGTTTGACTTTGTGGATGTTGTGCTCTTGTTTTGTTTGGATCCATAAATCTCAATGTTAAAAAGTGTTGCACACTTCCAACCATAGACAAATAATTTAAACTCCATCCTCAGATATATAAATCTACAACAGTATTTTGTTCTGTATGTGATGCAAACCTGTGTTGTGTATGGAAAAGTATTCTTAGTACTCTTTAATATTGACCATAATGTGTGAAAGTTAAAAGCCTAAATAAACAGCTAGTTAATAACACAATAGGTAACCTACTGCAAAGTAGACAATATGAAAACTGTACAAAGAGCTGATCAGATTTAATTAATTCAACTTGCCTTCGTCAAGCATTGAAGGATCCACTTTTGGCGATAGAAAAGCAATGAACAGGTTGAGATGGTAGATTCCCAAAGCATATGTTACTATATACCAACCCTGAAAGGCAGCATAAGAAACATCACTACATTAACAGGATTCATGGGCATACAGAAAACATGAATGTGCAACTTTTTTTAGTGAAAATTACACACACATATGAGCAGGAACATTTTCATGGAAACAGAACAGGCAAGTCGGCAAATTTTCAAAACACACATCAGACAGGTGGGATACAGAATGAAACATATGTACAGTCACTGTCCTCTTGTAGTGTCCTCTAAGCCAATCTTTCACCTTTGGTGAAAATCAGCACAAAACAAAGAACAATGAGCCTTAAATATAATACAATCCAGTACAACAACACCACTAACTACTAGTTAAATAATTAGTAGAGGTGAATAAACGCCTCTTATTCTGACGGTGTCAAAAAAATTGCAGGGCAAGTTAAACATTTTGGTTTGCTTGTATTACAACTATGTACAACTCTCATAGCTTACATTTGTTTTCTTCCTTGAGCAAAGAACGATGTAGTAAATTGGAAAAAACTGAAAACAATTACCTGTAGTATGTACACTCTGATCATGTAGACTGCAGTAAGTAGTAGAGTAGCTCCCCATCGCACTGCATGGAATGGTGTTGACTTGTCTAGCCATGACTGATAGACCTATAACAAAAAAAATAGAGGAAAACAAAAGATATAGCTATCAGAGGCAGAGAATGTCACCGATGACCAAGTAAGACACAACCTTGATTTAAAAAAAATAAAAAATAAAAAAATAAAAAAATAAAAATTATAATATATTTACACATGATATGCAATCCAGTATTTACACCAGAGTATAAAATCATTTAATCCCTAAAATATACATTTGTGATTTGAACAGTACACATTTTACCTGTCCAATCCGTGTGAAAAAGGCAGCAACTACAGATGGCTTCCCATGGATTGACTCCCCAACACTGTCCCCTTCTGACATTCTGCCAGCAAAGATGAAAAAGACATTTTGATTAGTGGTGCATGGATGTAGGCTTGGCTAGTATGACTGAAACACACTTTATATGTAATCTAATATGCACAAATCTAGCATCTCCCACTCTAAGCTATATTGGCTAGAATTTCAAATCAAGTTTGTAAGACAACAGGGTAGAACCTTTTCCAGCCAGCAGAGTTTTTGTGAAGAGAAAAGACACGCAAGTATTTACTTCACATGTTGTTTATTGCCTCTTTTAATCATGTTTTACTTCTTAGTAGGATTCAGCATTAAATGTAGGTCTTAAGTACAATAATCATTAATACCATATAAGGCTAGTTAAGAAAGTAATGAGTCTACTGAAATGTGTGATCCGCCGTTTGGATCTGTGAAGACCAGAATGTGTGGTCTGTGTGTTGTGTAGTTAAGCAAGTCCAGATGGGGAAGCTGTCTGACAGGTACACATAACCGGTACTAAATGATGTGTAGCGTTAGATAACGAACATGGGGAACTCTAGTATTCGTTCGGTTGAAACTAACAAGCTAGGTAACGATTTTTGTAACTTAAATCTAACCAGTGGCGACATATTTCGGCTGCTTTTACGGCGAACTTTTCAGTGATCCATTGATTTAACGAGTAACGAGTAGATCATACATTTTCCATGTAACGTTGACGTTAGTCGGTTGCCCCCCTTTAACATAGTTCGGGGTTAAGTTTCAGGTATTTTGTTACCAACTTTCATTGTGTAACCATTGCGATTACAGTGTTTTAATGGGGAATTTTGACATGGAACGGTAGCTAAAAAGGCAAGATCGTGTAGAGATGTTCGTGATTGTGGCTAACGTTAGCTGCATAGCTAGCAAACAGGCTGAAGCGGTCTGGAAGGCAGCTAATAAGTCATATTTATTACAACAGGCTCTCATGGATAACTATAGCATGGATACGATAGAAACAAAACATGCAATAACTGTGACAAACGTTTCGTCACTGCCACTATTTTAAAGAAAGAGTATTACTCACGTTAGCTTACAAATTAGCCATAGAAATAGCTAACTAGTCATCTGAAAGCGCATTGCCCTTTGGCCCAAATCATCGCCTGTATGGGTTATGTAGTTTTCGTAAACCTACAGTTCACCCCTATCAGTCCTTAAATTAATGCATGCGACTACATTTCCCTGAACTTCAGCGTAGCGCCTATTAGAACCTGATTAAAGAAAGTGTAGTTCATGACCCCCTCTATTTCCATTACAATCCATGTTGATCAAGAAAACGTTGAACTACAAGTACCAGCAAGGACTGTGACAATCTGACAACTCACTTCCGCCGATACAGTAGTACGTTGCCAACGGCTAGCCAGCTAACGTTAGCCCAGTTAGAAATCAAACCACTCCAGCAGCCACATCCGCACTCACTGAATGATACAATGGTTTTGAAATGTGTTTTAGTTTTAATACTTGTCTGCGTCTGGTGGTGGTGTTTGCAATTAAGGTGAAAATAATCAATGACAGTCATTTCTTACCTGATATGGCCGCTGTGTCACTACCCGGCTCTACCTAGCTAGCTAAACTAGCCACTTCTGGCTGTTAACACGTCAGTACTTCCGCAAGGATTCGAGCTAGAGATAACGGCAGGCAGGATAGTAGAACCCAGGCAGGATAGTAGAACCCAGAGCCCCTTTAAAGAGAGAGTCCCGTCATCGCCGTTCACTCCAATTAATCCGTTTTTAAAGCAATGGAGCCTCTCAATAGTTCACGGAAGTTAGCAGAGTATACGAGCAGCGGTAAGACGTTTAAAGAAAGATATTGTATATTATCAACACAATGGATTGATTTGTTGAATTGCTTCCTCTCTCCTGAGCTCCTAAGTTATCTGTACATTCACGGCGGAGAACCGGTGTTACGTCCCTACTGGTTTCTGGACCTACTGGTTTCCCTTCCGTGCGTGTGTTGTGTTCGCTTAACAGCTGCAGCGGTTTTCTGCCTCTGTCGCCTGATTCGTCACACATTCACAAACATATTGCTGGAGATCTAAAAGACACATCTCATATCAATTGCTGGGATTACGATTATATAAATTAGCACTGCATCACAGCCACGTATGAAGAAATACATAGAAGAAAATACATTTACGCAAAGATCGCAACAACCTGGATTCGAACTCTGGCGAGCAAAATAGTAATAAACCCAAAGACGGTCGAGCTACGCGATCTGCCACTGCCCAGGGAACGTTTTGGTTTAGGGTGAACTGAATCAACTGGTTTCCTTGGGCATCTCTCCGAACACTTTCAAACATATTTATCAATGCTTTTTCGCGAGGCTTCGACCATACACCACCAACGCATTTTGACGAAAACAAATGTATTTTTGGACGATTATAGAGTGACGATCGTACTTTGAAAATACACTAAATAATTGCGAACTCTGCAGAAGTTGCTGCTGTGTTTGTTGTCTGTAGGAGTCCGCTGCGGCACCAGCTCCACCAGCTCCAAACTGTCTTTAATCTTCATCAGCAGCTCAAAGTTGTCCCGACCACGAACCTACACACAAACACAACACATACAATAAGGCAGTCCTTAAAAAAAAATATGATAACAGAAAGCCAAACAGTGAGGACAAACTAAAACTGAGGTGACTTGTAAACATAGATAAAACAGTAGAATAGATAAAACAATTAAAAAATATATTAATACAATGATGGACTATGAACGAACAGCATGTAACCTTTCCACTCGAGTAATGTAATGTAAATAAATGATGCATGTCATGTTAAATGCTGCCTAGATTTAGTCTTTACCCTTGACAACTAACTTAAATGTTCATTCAAATACAACTCCTTTTTGACTTTGATGAAGAGACACATTAAAGGAAGGCAAATATTTTAATAGCCATGATTTTGAGAAAATAAAACACCAAACTTAACAACCTCAGAAACCACTGGACATTGATGAACAGCAATAGTTATATAGGTACATGTCTTAATGATCGCTACAAAATTGATAACAAAAAACTCACCAGGAATATGAAAACAAGCACTATTTCTATTTACATTGTTGTAATTCATAATACTGATCATAAGCACAAATAATCCTCAATTATTTTTTACTTTTAAAGCATTAAAGTGCTCATTTTTGACCAGTTGGTGGATAGTGGGCGAAAGTATGTGTGTCCCTTTGTAAAGAAAAGTGATGTCAGGTGCAACCGTACAAATTATCATCATGGTACAAAGTCAAGTAGTTACTTCCAACACATTTGACACCATTATAAATGAACTTTATGGCAATCAAGAAATAAAACTGGAATGTTGCTATTAAATATCCACAAACAAGTGCCATGAAGATACATACTAGGTTCACAACTAGCTATAATCGATATATGAGGACCTTGCCCTGCAAGGTTTTTCAAAATACACAAAGAAGGACACAAATGCTACAGTCTTGTCTAGTGTCTTGGTAAACAGGGATGTTATTGTTCATTTATTAATCAACATTCCGATTAAATCCCTGCTATTAAGATATAATACTGTTTTTGATAGTTTGTCTCAAGTGTTTTGCAATGTGTTTCTGTACAAGAACAACAGTATTTCCTATGACTTCATAAAAAAAGTAATGGATGCAATGTCCAACTTCTGATATTACGTGTTGACTGTGATTTCCATTTGTTTTCATGAATACACAATATTAATACCAAAGCCCATTTAACAATTAAATGATATGGGCGTACTTAACTAAAGGTCATTACATTATCATAGCCATTAAAAATAAGCATTACTATGTGTTTCCATAGCTGAGTTTTTACAAGATTTTCCATTCAGTTCTTTACATTGGCCGGCAAACAGGAGATACACTATTTTGAATCAAAATACCTCTTTGCAACCACATCTAGTCTAAAACATTTACAAGATACAGTATATACATTTGTACAGTGAAGGAAAACGGAAATAACAATAAATAAATCAGCTGAGAATTAATTTCGTGTATTCAAACACAAAAATTCTAACTAGAACATTTTGAATTAGTGATTCATCTACTGTGACATTCGTGCAATTGTGAAATTGCTCCATTTTATGTTCACTATGAATGTACTGGAGGCTAGTAACAAACTGATGTGCAGCTAATCAACATTCCGTTTTCCAGGAAAAAAACAGCAACATTCATCAATATGCACTTGTCAGAGTCCCAAAAAGTATAGTCCAGACCATATGTGTTTAGCATTGCCCTGATGATGCTATTACCACAGTGGTATTTGCTATTTAGACTTGAGATGTCCTTTTGTGTCATCTCATGTTCAAACTTCTGAGTGGAACAACTGTTCAAGCACAGAAAAGTGCATTCACACTGAAATGTTTGACGATCAAAATGGAACTTGATTTTCTGCAATATCAATGACTGAAATATGCCAGCAACACCTACAAGCACAATTAAAGGCCCTATCCACATGCGTTTACTTTGTAAATAGGCTAATGCTGGCAACAACATTGGCTCCAAAGATTCTCCTCAGGCTCAATGAACATCACTTTCCATGAACTCCTCCTTGATGGAGTGCCTACTACGGGACAGCTTGCAGTCGGGCATGTCGAAACCAAAGTCAGCCCAATCATCAGTAGCTGCTGCCATCCCTGACGTCCCAACAACACCTGGCCTGTTGGGGATGGTGATGGTGTGGCGGACACGAAAGTGCACAGCCTCCATGACGCGCTGACGTTGGAGTTCCCCGCTGGCAGCCCCAATGGCCGCCATGGCAGATGCAGTCATGTTGCTGCTGGAGCGAAGAAGCTGCTGGCCATGATAGTCATGGTGATGAGTGGAGGCAGGCAGTTGGAGGGGAGCAACTTGTTTCATGTCCTGCAGACCTCGCCAGATGACAAGGCGGTACTGCTCCGGTATCTTCAGTGCACCTAAATCCTGGTGACAGCACAAAGTTAAACATTGGAGGAATGTAAGAATGTAGGAAAAAACTATGAACAAAGAAGGACAAGGATGAGTGCATGTGCATCCTCATTTGTTTGCTTATAGATACAAAAAATATTGATCTATATCACTAGTGGACAAAAACTCTAAAGGGTACCTTTAGTTAGACTAGGTCAAATTATTTCCATCCTCAAGTGATTTTCAAAAGCCCCTCTCTGGTATTATTTTACGGTAACTGTTTGTTCTTTCCTTTACTGTTTCTTTTTCCGCTTTTCTCTGTTTTCTATGAAGCTCTGGACACAAAAAGTTATTTTCACTGTGAGATTGTGAGTGTAGGAAGAGAGTGGTTACCTCCATGGAGAGAGTCTGAAGATGGTAGACAGACTGGAGGCCTTGGGAGGTGAAGTAGTCAATGAAGTTCTGACAGCCCAGACTGGTTAGAAAACTGTAAGGGGAGAAAAGCAGGGCTGCTTAGACTGCCATTAGACCACAGCTACAAAGCTAAAATCAACTTCATTAACACTGATGAAAGTTGCAGCTGTGCTTGAGTAGAATAACGACTATACTAACTTGATAATTACAGTCAGCATTTATTGTTCAACAGAATTGATTATAAAAGCACCTCATTCTGTTATGTTACGTCGTTATCTATTGAAATTATTATTAGTTTAGTTCAAAACTGAGTGAAAGATTTAGCCTGAAGTGTGCTGAAACCATACAGCCTGATAGATGCAGTGGAAGTAAACTCATAAACATGCATTTATATTAATGATTCATAAGGCCACTCTTGCTTTGATGAAGAACCTTTATTATAAATACATGAAATGTTAACGTTATGGCAACATACAGTGTAAATGAAAAAGAAGCTAACTGTACAATTTAACTGTACAATAAACATAACAATCTAGAAAGCAAAAAGGTGGACAAAGTCTGCTGTATCAAAAAAGTTGAAATTGCAAAAGCAAAGTCTAAGTATTAAAACAACTGCACTGACACATTATCTTAGAAAAAATAGGAAAAAACTTTAAAATTAAACAGAACTTATTAGACATCGGAAGTTTCTTTTGAAGAAAATTCGCTGTAGTGCATTGCAAAGGTGGGCTGTATACACAGTGACAGTGTGAATGATTTTAGTGTATGACACACAGTTTGGGCTTTTGGGTGACATAACAAACCCTCTGGCAGCCATAGTGGAGGTCTACAACTCTTGAGCAGCTTGGCTGTATGAGCAGAGTAAATAGACATGATTAACATGTTTTTGAATGGGAGCTGACTTACTTAATAGGAGCAAGCTTAGGCAAGAACACCATTTGTTTTGTAAATTACTTTTCGCCAGCCAACAAAGACAAGACAGACATTTTTAGACATATCTCGTACTACTGGTGGCAGGACAGTTGTTATATCAAAGTAGCCAAAGTTTGGAAACAAAAATACCAATACACACTTTTCACTTTTACTTAAAACATTACCAAATTACCCTTCTCCCATAACACAACCTTTCAAGGTAATGCCTTTGTTTATTTACCCCCCAATTATATAGAGAGATTATTTCCATGCAGCCAATTCCTCAATGGACCTTCATTAAGGCACCAGCCATGGTTGCCCGATTTGTGATGTAATGGCAAGCCTCTACAAAGCAGCCATAATCAAATCAAACTGACTGCATAACACAGTTCAATCTAGACACATGTTGCTGCAAATTAGGAACTTCTCCAAAAACCTGTTTGATCAAATTTGTACGAACATGGTCTAACAAACGAGCTGTTTTTGGTATCAACATTTGAATTTAACCCAACAAGTGCATCTGATTGTCTGCTGGCCCTTTACAGGAGCATAAAGAAGGAGTGTCATTGGAGGGTGAGGTACCTGACAAGGCTGGGGTCAGGGTTATACGGAGGGGGCGGGCTGCAGTGGGAGGCAGACACTATAGTCTGACTGCTGTGTCCACCATTCATATCACCATTTCCCTGCATGTGGTGGCTGTTGAGCATGTTTGAACCTGTGAGAAAGGGAGGGGTGATCAATGAAATAATGAGCGGCAGAATAGCACAAAGAACTGAACTATAATGGCATAAACAGGCTCTGTTTGCATTGATATTTTCTGATCAGAAAACTTTACAACAAATTGGTTTGAAAAATGTGCTTTGTGAGTACGTCTGATTTGATTTGAATCACATATATAGATACTCACCCATATGCGCTATGGAGGTGGGGGCAGTGTGATGCTGCTGGTGCTGCTGCCCCACCAGCTGGTTGACAGAGGGCGATTTGTTGAGGCCTCCGTGGGCATTCTGTTTGTTCATGTTGGACAGTGGAGAGTAAGGGGAGGGGGATGCTATATGGCTCCTAGAGAAAACAGGAGAATGTGACTGAGGTTAGAGGAATGCGTGTCTGTGTGTTAGTGAGTAAAACAGTCAGTTTGATGAATTCAACAAGACTCTAAATGTCCAATTTTTGTGAGGTTTATTCTATTACATCCTTCTCTTTATTTTAATCACAGACTTCAGCTAAAAAAAACAATAAAGAAATTTGAGTTTTTTATATGCCTTTTTTGTTTTTGTTCATGTGTTTGGGTCAATCAAATCTTTTCAGTCACCTTTATGGACAGTATGTGTGCATGTTTACCAGTAGCCGTCTGTGTGCTTGTGCATAGTGTTAGTGTTGGATTGACTCACGGTCTCTGCAGAAGTTGCTGCTGTGTTTGTTGTCTGTAGGAGTCCACCAGTGGCTGCGGCACCAGCTCCACCAGCTCCAAACTGTCTTTAATCTTCATCAGCAGCTCAAAGTTGTCCCGACCACGAACCTACACATAAACACAACACATACAATAAGGCAGTCCTTAAAAAAAAATGTTTCCAGTGTTTGATACAATGCTACTCTCTTCTAGTCAAGAGATTTGTGATATTGATCAAATTTACTTGACTAGGCATTGTAGCGTAAATATTTCCACATACGAATATGAATGAATTTGGCAATTTAAAGGTCTAAAATCTCATATATCAAGTCTAAATCATCTGTAACTTATGTCTGTATTACACTGTTAACACTACTGTCATGTCAAATGATAAGTGTGTGAAAGGCTCTTACGGGGATATAGTAAATCTCTTCTTCTCCATGCCGCCTCTTCCTCATGTTAATATTTGGACTGGGAATATTTGGAGGACTCTGTTTGAAGTCTGCAGACGACAGAATCAGAATTATGATTGAGCAGGTTTCTGACACATTTCAAAATCGTATTCAGATTGAGGACCAAGATATCTTGGTTGATTGTTGAATGTAGACCAACAGCCAGAGAGCAACATCTAAGTATCACGACATATAAAAAGTCACTATTTAAATTTGTAGTTAAGATGAACGTGTTGTTCAATTTTATTCAACTCACTGCGCTTGTTGGCACTGCCATTTTTGGCCACACTTTCATGCAGGGCCTGTTGTTCCCTGAAGTGGTCCTCATCTGCTTTGCGGTCTCGGCCAGGACACGCACATATCCGACCTTCAAACGACCGTCTGCCCAACACTTGACCGCTGCAGAGATAATCGGGGATAGGAAATATACTCAAATAACGTTTGTTAAGAAAATGCAGGTTCTCTAACAAGGCCAAGTATCTTTTTACTTTTCAGTTTGACTTTAGCCTGGTGGATCAATGCACTGAATAGTCTCACGCTATACTCTTTGGCTGCAGCCAGACTGCAAAATTGTACATTATCATGGTAAATGGCACTGAATATTGACTATATGTAGTAATAACAGTGTGTATAATGTGATATGTATAATATTCTGCACTTTCCATTGATCTGTAGGTTGATGGGTTTTGTCCTGTATCATTAACAAGTATGTACTGTTGTAAAACATTTGTAAATTCATAAAATCCAAATACCCGGCGCAAGAAAGAATCAAAATAAAGCACATGACAAAGAGCTGAGAATTGCTCGTTTGATTAAAAAGAGAGACATGGGTTGAACTGTCTGCATATGAATTGTGAATTGTTGACTTACTCTCTGGTTTCCAAAGTGATGATGATGAGGATGGGTCTTCTGTTCATGCCGCCCACACAGCTGCTGTTGCACATGAAGTTATACAGGAAGGTGGTGAACTCAGTCCCCACCTGAAACACAAAATAGAGAATAATTGGCTGTTTCGAAGTTTTGTTGGTTTAATAACACTTTGTTCAAACAGTTTCTATCAGTGTGCGTATCTGTTCGCTAGCAAACATCCCGTTTTACAGATAGATTTTACAGTAAATATGCTAATTCAGCACTAGAGGGCAGTGTTGCTGTGCACTTTGATGTGAGGCGAGACGATCATACTCTGCATTAACCTCCCCAGGTGCAATCACAGTCATGATGATTTCTCACTCTTGCACTTGTATGGACATGCTCGGCATCTTTATTTATAGATGTGCTTCTTACGAAGTACCTCGGAGAAATTGACTGTTTCTTTGAGCTTGACCGATCCATTGTGTGTCTTTTAAAACACTTAGGCTGAATGTACAACATGATAGGGATATCTTTCAGATATTGAGATGGATGAAAATCAACTAGGATTCACCTCATGGGTATACTTCATGAAAAGAGTAAATATCTCAAATATTTTGTACATTCACCCATAATTTGTGGTGTTTGAGGTCATGAGTCCCGTCCCTAAGCTTGCAATGCATTGTGTGTCTCTGTGATCCACAGTAGCTGATGAACCACCAACCTGTGGAGCCTCATACGGCAAGAAGACACTCTGCCGTCCAGTGACAGGATCATCCACGTACTGAGAGAGGTTATTCCCCTCTACTCGGATCAGGTGACTGGCCGGGGCTGCTTGGCCTTTGACGAGAATGATGAAAGAACAGGTAAGGACACAGTTGGTTGATCGAAGTCAAAGCATCACGGATAACAGACAGTCTTGGTTATTAAATGTCATGTCATTCACTTCATCGCCCTTATTTTTTCAACCAACTACGACAAAATAGTTTGGGGATAATGTTGTCGACATAAAATGTCCAGGTACAGTCAGTTATGGTCAAAGGACCAGGATTGTTTATCATACCATCGTTGAAGTCTCGTCCTAGTTCGTGGTTGGGGCAGCGTTTGACCACTTCTGTGACGTGCTCCGCCTTCTTGTAGATGGGCATGGCTCTGATGATGCTGCCATGAGGAGGAGAGGAGGACAGCTTGATTTGGATTGGACAGGTCTTGGCAATCTGACAGTAGAGCTTCTTCAGCAAGGGAGAGTACTGGGTGGGGAAATAACACACACAGGACCGGAGAGGCTCAAGTCAGTGGTCTGGGTTGTTGTCACTAGCAGTCAGTTGCATGGGAGTGTGAACTAAAGCTTTGTCCAACAAACTGCAAAATGCAAAATCAGTTATGTCTAAATTTGCATTCCCAACTGCAAGAAATTGTACTTTCTCTTTTAATTTTAAATTCTAATTTACACTTTAGGACATGAATATACATAAAGAATCAAGTTATCAAGGAAATAGCGAGTAATGCCTTCTTATTTACATTTTTTCAAACAGCCTACTGCAAATTAAACTTAAAGACATACAAACTGAGTTTTTTGTCTTCTTATGTAAATGCTCTCACATAGTAGCTATGAATAAACTAAGGAGGGAAAAAAGGAGGGAAGGGTTGGTTTCAAAAGGTGTGCACTGACATCTTAGCAAAAACAATGTCTCTGGAGGTGGAATTGTTGTTTAAAATCAAAAATTACATTTGATTTAAGCCATTACCTTATCAATGAGCATGACAGCCAAAAAAGTATTGAAATGAAAACGTGGACAAATAAAGAGCTAGTTGATAATACGATGATAAATCTGTGGGTTGTGACCACAGGGCACTATAATTATCACATCAAATTATGACTAAGGAACAAATTTTGTATTTGGGGAAAGAGAGAGCATGAAAGGAAGAGGAAAGGGAAAATACACGAGGACTGTTAAACAGTCAGCAGTACATTTTTCGTCTGCGTAGTAAAGGTAATTACTGTGTTATTAGAATGAACAACTAATTATTATCCAGCAGACTGGGTTTGTTAGTATAATAATGTGAAATGCTACAGCTGGGGGAGGAGAAGTGGAAGTTCAAAAGGACAAAAAGGAAAAAATTGTTGTGTCTGAGAATGTGTACAAGCTGAAAGAAAACCTTAATTAAACGTTTACCACTGGTACTCAGTTACAGTAAAGTTCAATGAAAATATTCTGATCTGTGCTAAAGCCAAATCTTCAGTGATTCCTCAGTTTACAAGCATTTACACATGCATGCATACATGCATGTATGTGTGTAAATACCAGTAGACATCCAAAGACACCGGGACAAGGGATGGAGAAGCCTTAACATGCTCCAACACAATCACAAAATCTCAAAAATCTTCCCTGTAAAAATCAAACTGAGACCTTCAAGGAAAAAACTGAGAAGACAGTTGTCCTGCATGGACTTGCTGCAGTGGGCCTGAATACAAATGTAACAGCACACCATATGGCAGAAATACAATACATATCAAGATGTATGTAACATTTGAACTGCATTTTGCCACGTGGTATTTCAGATGAGAAAAAGTAGAGACAAACCAAAAACACGAAGAGAGTCGAATGAATGGCCCTACTCAAACTGAACCATTACACGATCTGCATCTTAAACCTCAGCGTAACCAGAATCCCATTTCAAGCATAATTTTTCCATTTTTTATCTGGTAAATTTGATTATATTATCCTGGGTTTAGTGATGCTTTTATGCAAGACAAATGTGAGTTTGATAGATGAGTTGGAGTTAAACCCTGAACCATATTAACCAGATCTGTTAGCCAAGTATCATCCATCAATAATCAAGGATTTTTAGAAAATGCAAAACATATTAACTTGGAAGCCACCTTCCACCAACTTCACCTTTCCACAAAAAAAAATATTTTACTATATATATATATATATAAAATAAATTGAATGCCTGTATTACAAACTGGCAGTATGGAGTTTGACAGAAATAGGCCTTCAGGAGGCAGTGAGGGTCTTTCCAGTCCCCAAAAGTTCTGCTAACCCCGAGTCATGTCATGCTTTCCCCTATGTTTCATTCTACACCTTACTGTTACTTTGAATGTCCAGTTAAGAGTTTTTTTCTTTTGGAAAAGATCAGGTAAATTCTTCAAATTGAAATGTAATAACTTCTTTAAATTTCCCACTGATGATCCAGACTCTGGTTTGACTCCCAGACACCAGACACAGCCTCTAGCCCAATGACGGCTGGGAAGGAGTCATTCCAACAACAACTGCTTGGATTCCTTGTTGTGACACCGTTACTAAGCCCCTTAAAACCACACACACACACACACACACACACACACACACACACACACACACAC